AAAGACCAACTCTTCTTTATATGCCTCTGATAACGTAATACTTGAATATTTTTTTCAGATTTTAAAATAATTAAAAAGAAAAAAAATTACCTAGAAAGATTGTCCACATGTCCTCTCAATTCAATGGCTTCTTGTGTGCGTCCAGAGTTACCATGTTCAGCAGTATTTAAGTACCTCGGAGAAGACTCCAAATTATCTGAAGGCAGGGACTATTTGCTCATCATCTTGACCTTCCTTGGGCAAGTTACTTAACTTCCATAAACTGTTGTCTCAATGGCGTACAGAGATATAGTGGTAGCTGGCATTTTTTGCATGACGACCATGGGCCCAGTGCTTTTAACACGGATTGTATCATCTCATCTCAAAATAATCGTGTCTAATAAACATTATTGCTATTGGATTAGAAAAGAGACAGATCACTGAAGTAGTAAGTGGAGGGCCCGGGATTTGTCTGTTCCCAGGGTCCATGGACTTGTAGGGTTGTGTAAGAAGTGAGAAAGTATAGGGAAAATATTTGGCAAGGTCTGGCTCTTCAGGAAGTGCATAGGAAACGTTAGATATTATCACACGTGTAGTTTCTTCCCTGCCAGGAAACTCTTCCAGCCATTAAAAACATGCACCCAACTGAACTGAAACAAGGTGGCTTTGTCCTGAAAGCACTGTGGCAAGGGCATGGTCATGAGCCAGCCCGGGAGCTCCAACATGTGCAAGCAGCTCACATCTCTTCAGTGGGGAGTGGATTGCCATGGGAAGTCATTAGGGAAAGTACTGTAGCGGGGTATGTGTTTTCCCCTTGGGATATGAAGCTTTGACTGCTATTAATAACAGATGTGCAGCCAATTACAGAGTGGAGATGGGTAATCACAACTTGCATTTTAAGGCTTAATCTGATCACCTCTGGGGTCAAGGAATTACATAGTTATCATAATGGTTAAAGTCTGTTTGTGCCACCACTTATGGACCAAAGTTCAAGCCTTGGAGGTCCGAAATGGAGTTTATCGTGCACTAGTGTGCATGCTTATGTGTCTTTGTGATTCGTGTGTGTGTGTGTGTGTGTGCGCGTATAAGCTACTCCAAAGCTCGGCCCTGTCACCCTGGCTTCCTCTCAAGTTTACCTGGTAAATGTTTCTCTTGAGAAAATGGGAAGCCAAGAGGCCTCGATTCTGCCTTCAGTTCTGCTCCGATTTCCTTGGCAATTCCTAGGCTTTAGCTCACTTGCGAAATTAGGGCAGTCTCCCAATGTTTACTTCTTTGTCTCCTCTACACAACTAAAGGCAGAAGCTCTTGTATCAATCACTGAATTCTCAGTGTCGGAAATAGTGCCTGGCGTACAGTAGACACTCAGTAAACACTGAGCAAATGACTCTCTGCGTTTCCTTCCAGTGATGATGTGGCATGATTCCAGGAAATCAGAATCTAGTGCCTGGAGTGGATTCCAAAACATGCAGCAGATAACGTTGGCCGTCAGCTCTCTTCTTAGTTTTCTCTGCCTACTGTTGAGACACCTTCATGAACACTTGCACCAGAATATAACATGTACGAAAGGAGATGATGTTGAGATCCGCCAAATTTTTCTCTTCTCTGGCAGTGCCGGAAATGATTTGGATGAAGAAGACACTGAAAGTATCGAAGTGTTGGTGATTTGCTGGCCTTATTCAAGCAGGTGTGTCTGCCAGTCATTCCCATCCATACTCGAGAACCGGCCACCCACAACACTTGTCACCAAGGCCTCTAGACTCAGTTCCCCTTGGTGAGAAAAGACCACTGGCCAACAATGTCTGAAGGCTTCAAGTGACATGACAATCATTCCAGATTTGGAAGGGGAAATGACCAAGCAAGACCTTCTGGGTTTTTGTCCGTTTTCACGTACATGAGTCAGGGTTCTTGGGCGTAAACACCACAAATAAACTCTGGCCAATGGAAGCAGAAGAGGACTTTAAGAATTTCAGGTACCACAAAACAAGTGGGCTCTACCACACACACCCTCCCCCCGCCACCACTGAATCCTGCTTGCCTCGGGTACATCAACTTGCTCTTTTCTTTTTGTACCGCTTGTTCAAAATTCGAAGTTCCAAAGGGAGCAGATGATTGGCCAAGCTGGGCCATACCCCCAGCCGAGTTCGGACCGGATCCCTACAATAAATGAATATCACAATAAAGCGAGCCAAATGACCTTTTTTTTTGTTTCCCAGTGCATATAAAATTCATGTTTACACGACACTGTAGTGTATTAAGTGTGCCACAGCATTACATCTAAAAGAAAAAAGTACATACCTTACTTTAAAAATATTTTATTGCTAAAAAATGCTAACCATCATGTGAGCTTTCAGTGAGTTGTACACAATGATCACAGATAACCGTAACAGATAAAATAATGGAGAAGTTTGAATATCGTAAGAACTGCCAAACTGCAACATAGAGACATGAAATAAGCAAATGCTGTCGGAAGAAAGGCACCCGTAGACTTGCTCGATGCAGGGTGCCCACAAACCTTCAATCTGTAAGAAACATCATATCTGCAATGCATGATAAAGCAAAGCACAATAAAACAAGATATGCCATATCTTCTCCCACTGGGCTCCCAGAGCGGAAAGGAAGGTCCTAACCCACACAGTGGGGGAATCCCCCAAATAGAAAAAGGTTCTGCCTGCTGGTCAGCCACAGAAAAATGACAGGGATTTACTACATGACAGCTCAATAGTGTAACATCTGTACACTTTGATAATCCACATTTGTAAAGATGGGTAAAACCTAGAGCCTACAATCGCATACCCAGTACCCTAAGTGGGGCAGACTCATGATGAATGTCGATAGGGCTTGGTAAGATTCTTGCTCTAAAGGTTGAAAAAATTACCAGCCAAAATTAAATTTTAATCATTTAGCAGCTTCTTGCTACTTTACCCAGGGCAATTTTGGAAGTTGTGGTTAAGTATGCTACCAGTATGTTATAAAATTCCTGCTGCTGGCATGAATTAACCCAAGGGAACTTTCAACTCTTGATCACGTTTCCATTCCTCCCCTAGGTTCTCCCACCTCCAAAAAGCAAGATGACCCCAGGCCTCGCTCCTTCTTAGCCCCGTGGTTACTCTGGAAGTCCCCAGGGACTGGGCTTCAGACCTTGGCCCCAGCTTCCCTGCAGAAAGGCCTCTGGGATGAGCCAGTTCAACTTCTAGTTTATGTCAGGTAGAAGGCTGAGTGGAGGAAGGGACAGAACCCAAGATGGAAGAGAAAACCTCTCTTAGCAAATAATGCTGATGCTCAAGACAATAAACAGGCCTGAGATCTATGTATGAAAAAGCAGAAATGAATTATAAGTAAATGTGATAACATTGTCAATAAAGTAAGAGAGAAGAGTAAGTGGCAGCATGGTTTGTATAGTATGATTCTGTTTGTTTTTAAAAAGGAAATATACTAGCGGGTGTATGTATGAATAAGAAATACTGGAAGGGTAACCTAGGACCCATGGGAATTAGTGAGAGAGGCAAAGAAAAGCCTTTAGGTTTCACTGTATATCCTATTTCTGTTTGCATGTCGACTGTGAGTAAGCAGGCTCCGTATAACTAAAACGAACAAATTTAAAATGATGTAAAAGCGAAGCATAACAAGAAAAAGGAGTAAAATCAGCCACTATCAAGCAGGAATCAGGGGTCAAGAAAGAACTTTTTCCCAAACAGGGGGCTCACCTGAGCCTGTGGGAAGGCAGACTTCTCTCTGTTAAGAACACGTTTCCACTGGCAGGCCTGAAGGGGCAACATCTCTGTATCTTTTCCTTACTGTTCCTCAGAGCCAGGCCTCTACTCAACTCAGGAGGGAACGCACCTTCTACCTCCTCCCCAGGCATTCGGGCAAGACCTGAGAAAGGTGACTCAGGGAGAGGCACTTTCTGGGCCTCACACCTCTGCAAGTCTCAGCACATGTCCCCAAGGCAGGGGTGGCCCTCTCTCTTCTCCCCACCAAAAGAGTCCATCATTACTAAAAACACAAGTCTTTTTAATAATGGGCCTGCTTGGGGGGGGCACCTGAGTGGCTCAGTTGGTTGAGCAACTGCCTTCGGCTCAGGTCATGATCCCAGGGTCCTGGGATGAGCCCTGCATCGGGCTCCCTGCTCCTCCGGGAGCCTGCTTCTCCCTCTCCCTCTGATACTGCTCGCCCTGCTTGTACTCGCTCTCTCTGTCAAATAAATAAATAAAATCTTAAAAAATAATAATAATAATGGGCCTGCTTGGTTTGTTGTCCTGTAATAATCGTGGTGATGTTGGTGGAAACTAGTTTGGAAACTAAGTGACCTTTAGAGCAGAACAACCAGACTTTACTAAATGATGCTGGGTAGATTCTGTCTTCTTCTGGGTTACCAAAAGCAACCCCCAAACCGTCTATATTAGAGCTTGAATGACAGCATACTGGGAGGAGGGTGACGATGAGCTTAATAAGGAGCCCTTAAAAGAAAGAAGGAGCGCTCTCTCAATTCCTACTGACATTGGGAAATTCTGTCCGCACACAAACCTACAGATGCCTGCAAGGGAAGGACTGGGGTGCAGGAGCCAGAACAAATCTAATACCCCAGTTCTTCCCCACCACTTCCCACTGCCCCAGATCTTCCAGGCTGATGTTTCCCCTTTTTTTTCTCAACTCTTCTGAGCTTCTAAGAGTTCACTTCAAGTCATGCAGCACAAAGGAAAAGTGAGGGACTGGACCCCTTTCCCCCCTGCCCGGAAGAAGCAATCTGTAGGGCCCTAACAGCAGGGTCTGTGAGGCACAGGCCCTCCAGTTTTTACCCCCTAGTGCAAGGAAACGCCCAGTTCACATCCCTCTGGACAAGGGTGGCTGGAGGAGGTTCAAACTGCCCCAGGCGGGTGGGGAGCCAAAGCCAGACAAAGCCGCCCAACTTAGGGTAGTGACTGCCAAATCTGGCTGGGCTGCAGACTGCGGCCTTTCTCCACCTTTCACTCAGATGCGTGGCTGGCAGTCCTCCAGCAAACCCCCTCAGCTACCAAGGCAAGATGACCTACCCCAGCTCCATCCTCACACCCACTTATCCCCATCCTCGGGGAGTTCCAGCCCTTTCCGCAGTACTTGAGAAAGGTCCTGCAATGGGCTTCCCTCGCGCAGGGCCCTTCCCCAGACACCTGAAGGGGAGGTTCTTTGGACTGTCCCCCAACAGCTTGGGCCCAGCCTTGCCCTGGTTCTGCTTGTCTTCGAGGACCCCCCACGTCCGCCGGCCGCCGCCTCCAGTGCAGCTCTCGGCCAGGGGTCATTGGTGCAGGGGAGACCGCCCGCCCTGGCTTAAAGCGCGGCCGCCCCAATCCGGGCCCCGGGCCCCGGCGGGTCCCCGGCCCTGGAGGCCCGGAGCAGTGGCGCCCCCGCCCCTATGAGCGCACAAAGCCGGGGGTCGCCGGAACCCTGGGCCCCGCCGCGATCGGCCGCTGGATCCCGACCGCCCAGTGCGCACAGCGCGGCCGCCGGGTGCGAGGAGGACGCGCGGCAGCGCCAGCCTCCGGGCCGCGCTGGTTAGGTAGCAGGGGGGACCGGAAGGATGGCGAGGAAGTAGGAGAGGGTTTCCTGAGATGAAAGATTACTTCCGTCCGGGCTCTGGCCTCTCTCTGGAGCCGGCTCGTTGGGGGCAGGGGAGCGGGGTGCGCGGGGCTCAGGGGCTGCGCCTTGCCACCTGCAGCGCCCGCAGCGGGCGGGACGCGCGCGGCCCTGTCGGGGGCTAACGCGGGGGGATTCTTGCAGGTGGGAATCGAGGGCATTTCCTAGCGCCCAAGCCATGGTGGCCAAACAGCGGATCCGGATGGCCAACGAGAAGCACAGCAAAAACATCACCCAGAGGGGGAACGTAGCCAAAACCCTGGTAAGGCGGGGGCGGCGCCGACCGGGCCGAGCGGGGCAGGGCCGGCGGGGGCGGGGCGGGGCCGGCCGGGCGGGGGGCGGGCGCAGGGCCCGGCCTCTCTGCTCCCCTGCCCCGGGCCCAGCCCGCCCCTCCCACCCCTCCCGCCGGGTCCCGCGGAGTGGGAGCTGAGAGCCGGGCTCTGGGAGGCGAGCACCACGAGGTGCTCTCGTGGGCGGCGAGGGTCAGGGTGGTGGTGGCCCTTCTGGAGTGGCTGCTGGGGCTACCACCGAGGCTCGGAAGAGCCTCCCCAGGAGAGAATGGGGCCTTTGTCTCTGGGAAAAACGGAAAGTCACATCCTTAAGGAACAGTTAAAGGAAGTGCGTGACAAGGGGCCCGGAACCTAGTAGGTGCTAGAACGTTTGGTGAATGAATGAATGAATGAATGAATAGGTAAATGGAGACCACTTATCATCACCTTCTTGCAGGCTTTGACCCCTGCCCTCCACCCTCAACAGACAGATTAAGTTTTCTCTCCAGCCCCTTTGTAATGGGGCTGTATAAATTGGAAGGGCTCAAAGTGCCAAATGAGGTTCAGACCCGTTTCCCTTCATCCTCCTTTCTCTCCTTTGCCTCTTCCTTAGTGGGGCCTCTCACCACTGGGCTGAAGTTTAAATGCAACATTACTCTTCTTCACCCTGTGAGTTTTGGCTCATCCTAATGGTATGATCCAGAACTTTGGAGGCCAGATTAAAGCTTTTATAACTGGATTTTAAAGTAAAATCTGGGCCTTATGCACAGGGGTTTCTTTTAGCAAAGCAGAATATCTTCAAGAGAAAATGCCAGACCTGTGATTTTGGACATTCAGAGGCATGCCTGGGATGAGTCATTGGGCAGTGTTGGGTCTCCAAGTCTGTGAGACAAGGCGCCTGGAATCTATTATCCTAGACACTTAAGCGAAGTCCAGCTGAAGCTTGGGGTTTGGCTGGAAAAGCTTGCAGACCTGATGAGGCCATTCCTTTTAGCCAAAGAAATGATGCTGGTTTGAGTAACTGAGCAAAAAGCTAGAGCTACAATCATCACAGCAGAATTCCTACAAAACCGAGCAGTACTAAGGCAGAGAAACCTTAGGATCAAACTCAGCTCTACCCAGAGCTTTATACACAGCTCCAGACTTAAGTTACACTTGAAATTCTCTCATAGGGTGTTAGATCATTTAGTTATCACCTTGCAGTAAAATGCAAATACACCATTGAATCAGAACCACTTTTCACATAGATCTATTTTCCCTATTTGTTTTTACTCAGAAAAAAACAAACCGTGCTCTCCAAGTTGACCTTGAAAAACAAATTTTAATTGATGTTAAAGCACTCAGGGTTTTATATCCCTAGGAGATCACTTCGTCCTAGATATCATACAGATTAGCTGTGTGGTTCTTTTTAATGAACCAAGAACCTAAAGAACTAGGAAAGTTATTAACTGAACTCAGTTGACAAATACCGCCTGCAAAAGTAGCAACTGGGGAACTGATTTGCAGAGCCGATGTATCTGTTAGGCTTGGTAAGCTCAATGTCTGAGACCTCCAGCTTTTCAAGGCCATTGGAAGGTGTTTGAGACCTGGGGGAAAGGGAAAGTTACTGTGTTCAAAATAAGAGAACAAAATTTAAAAATTGGAGGAAAATGTTTAAATATCTAGGAAATGTACTTACCCCCATTTCAACTCAACTCAACTTTCAGAGCTGCATTCAGATTTGTTTAATCTATGATGCGAGTGAATTTTAATAGGTTCTGATAGACCATGGAATGGTGCCTGGCACCCATGCGGGTGTCCAAACGGCCCTATTACATTTGTAATGAAAGTTTTCCAAACCAAGCCACAATCTCTGTTTATCTTCAGGTGGTTAGAAGGGCTCTTTGGTTAACTTTATTGTAAAGGGACCAGCATCCAAAAAGAAAAATGAAATTTTCTTTCAAAAGGAAATATTTTAAACCCTAAATCTCATTTTCCTAATTACAGGTCAAACACAATTATACTTTGAAAGAAGTAACTTGCAAGGGATAACCTGTTCAGGATGAAATTGAGGACACGTGAACAGATTCTAACTGAAAATTCAGAATAATCATTCAGAAATAACCCCCTTCAGTTGTATGCAGATGCTTCAATATTTCCTTAGCTAATAGCTATGGAGTGAATACTGTTCTCCCAGATAGCAGATAAATCAAAGAAATAAAGAAATAGAATAATCATTTTGTGATTACACAGTAGTAACTTCTCTAGAACGGACAGGGATTTAAATTTCAGAGTTCAGAGTTACCCTGCTGGTATGTAATCACAGGGAAAGCCAGCCCCTGACATTCCGAAGCCTGGGGAAGTAGCAAACTCCTGTTTGAAATGAACCATGTTATTTGCAGAATTCTACTGCTTTTGTTACCTTTCCCAGCGATAGATTCAGGCTTGGGTGCATTGCCCCAATGGGATTGTGCTGGGAGCTGCTTCCAAAAAAGAGGAACTTAAAGCTCTCAGAAAAAGGATATATTACTGTTCTTGAGCTCTGAAAGTCCCCCAAATAATATTGATTCACTGGAAAATGTCATCCAACAGATTCTGGAGTTATATAGTCCAAACTCTGCATGTTGATAATTTGTGTTTTTCTGCAAAGGAAAAATAATGGACTCCATTCGGTATCCGCGCTAGACCAGTAATTCATGTACAAGGCTCCTGAATTCACTTGTTGGCTTTGCTGGAGATAGAGCTAAATGAACTTTTTATGTAGCATCAGCGGGATGACAGCAACGGAGCTGGCTTCTGGTCAACTCTGACAGATTGTTAGGGCGTTAGTGAAAGAGAGTGGGGAGGGGTAAGTGCCGCATTGTGTTCGGGTCACTTTATTTAATATCTCGATTATTTACTTGATCTACCATTGATCTGGTGTTAAGGGCCAAAGAACGACACAGTAACTGCACTGGGTAAAGTCAGGCAGTTGTGTAAGACTGATTGTGTCCTTGTCTGGCCAAGCACAGCTACCATTCCAGGTGCTTCGCTCCTGCAAGAGCGGCTCTAGATACAAACTTGTCAAGCACAGAGCACTGAGGGGTTTTCATCTTCAGAGTCTACCTGCCATTAGCACTTTAACCTATACTTCTCTAGTAAGAGAGATGCAGGGACAACCCTATCACCAGTTAGGAAGTATTTATAAAAGACGACAATATCCTTCCTAGACCCCGTCTCTACTCAACCTGGCCGAAGAAATCATATTTAATGAAGTTCGTATGCTTATTCATTCTTCGATGAACACTGATTTAGCGCCTACTGTGTTTAAGTTCCGTGCCAGGCACTGTTGTGCATTGCAACAGGAAAGAGCCACAGTGCCTGTCCTCGTGAGCCCATAGTCTGGCGGAGGGACAGACAGTTCACACATTATCACGAGAATAAACATACAAGCTGTGATAGCTGCCGTCAAGAAAACATACCTGCTGGGGCGCCTGGGGGGCTCAGTCGTTAAGCGTCTGCCTTCGGCTCAGGTCATGATCCCAGGGTCCTGGGATCGAGCCCTGCATCGGGCTCCCCGCTCGGCGGGAAGCCTGCTTCTCCCTCTCCCACTCCCCCTGCTTGTGTTCCCTCTCTCGCTGTGTCTCTCTCTTCAAATAAATAAATAAAATCTTTAAAAAAAAAAAAGAAAGAAAAAGAAAACATACCTGCTGATACATAAGTGGTCAGTGAACCCACCTGGGGTAGAGGAGAGGAGGCTCTCTCAGCATGTAACAGGCAAGCTGAGAACCAAAGCATTGTTGCTTATCTGTAATAAAATGAGTTCTCTAATTTACGTTGGTGATAGCTTGTTTTTGGCTCACACACAGGAGGAAACATTAGTGAGTTCTTTATTTTTTTCCCTCCAGCTTCTCCCTTTTTATTTGAGAAATTCACCACTTTTTTGGATGCCTCTCTCTAAAAATAGTTTTTCCACTGATCGATTTGATCTTAAGGACCAAGCCCTACTGCAAGTAGACCGAGAGGGGTTGTGGATGGTTGTTCTCATTATGTCTGTGCTATTGGTTTGAGGGGAGCGGGAGGTACGCAGGGCTCTGGGTGCGTGTGGGCACCACGGTGCCCTTCTGCTTCCTAAGGAACGCAGAGATTTCGCCAAAGAGAAAGCTTCACTGAGGTTCAGGAGCTTTATTACAAAAGGCTGCTACCTTCGCAGATCCACTCACAGTTGCTTTGGTGCTTCTGCCATTCCAAGGATTTCCACGGCACCAACTTGCCAACACTTTTTGGCCCGTAGAAGGTTTTGAGAAAATAGCTGTTCTGTGACCTTACTTGGAATCCACCGATTCAGGCAATTAAAGATGACTCTATTAAGGGAAGACACCCAGGGTCTCCGATGGGGCAGACCTACATCCCAGCCCTGCTCAGGTGAACAGACTTCGTGTCCGTTTCCCAATTACAGATCGGAGATAAGAATGTGCCTTGCACGGCCTTGTGAGTGGTGGAAGTAGGCGGTGTAGACTGGCTTAGAGTGTGCCTTCAACACGTGGAAGCAATTCGTAGCAGTATCGTCTGGGCCTCCCAAATCGCTGTACTGGGTTGTGTATTTTTACCCCATCTGTCCCCAGAATATTTAAGCCCACCGAGTTCACTGAGTTACAGGAGTATAACTAAATTTATGATGAATCTTTTCACACCTATCTGGACCCTTTACAATTGAAATTTCTTCATCAACGTCTGCCCACTGGGCATGGAGACTGGATCCGTCTCACTCACTGTGGCATCCCCAGCCTTCAGTAGCGTCTAGTAATTACCCCACAAATGTTTCCTGAATCAATGAACCTAACCTTCCTTTCCCCCATTCCCTTTCAGAGGCCACAAGAAGAGAAATATCCCGTGGGACCATGGCTGTTGGCACTGTTTGTTTTTGTTGTCTGTGGCTCAGGTATGGGTTTTTCACTGATCTCACAGCCCGTGTTCTGCTCTGTCCTTCAAAACACACTTCCCAAGTAAATAGACAAAAAAATATATTGGTCTGGGATTCAAGGTAATCACTGCCTGAAGCCTTCATCTTAGTGGGTTTTGATTTGGTCTCTGGTCCTCCAGAGAAAATACGAGACAGAATTGATATACTATCAAATCATAGTCATAAAATGATTACACCAAGCAATTAAATTGGCTGAATACACTTTAGAATTCAGTTAAACCTTTGTGTGAAAACATAGCCCTAAAAGGGCAGTTAGAACAGGAGCCACCTGTCTGCCCGAGTTAGATCCAGATTCCAGAGAAAGGGAAAGGTTTTTTGCCTTAAGAGGAAATGCCACAGAGCTCCTAAATAGAGCTGAGCCTTTGACCTGAGCCTCAACGAACAGTCACCTCATACCAGAGGGTGGTAAGTTCAGACAGCTTTGCTTACACTCACATGCAAACACACACACACACACACAGGGGAGGCTTGAGCAAAGGATCGTGCATTTGTTCTAGTTGAATTCTGTTATTGGGAGTCTTGGAATTCCTGGTCCCCATGGGTTGGGTCTTGAAAATCGTGGTAAAGGAGGAGAAGTGAGGTCACTTCTAACAAGGCAGGCCTTCCATGATTCCCAAGATCTCTCACTCAAAGAAACAAAACTGTACCCCATTTCTAATCTTTTACCCAACATGGGGATCCCTCATCTTTAACAGACGTTACCCAGCCTCTACTAGATTACTTCTGAGGGTGGAGGGTTCACTTCTTCAAAAAGCCTATCCCATTTCTGTATAGCTCTAATTCTGTTAGAGACATCTCCCCTCTTTTGAGCTACACTGTGCTATCTTCTCAATAGTTGAGGTGTGAACTCCTAAAACCACAAAGCATGGGCTCATTCTCTTCTGAACATCTTGAATCTTCGGATATTTTAAAGATGAGTTTAAACTCTGCAAACTAAACTCCCCTACTTCTCTCAACCTTGCCTCATAAGATGTGGTTTCTGGACCCCTCTTCTGGATGCACTCCATGACTCTCTTAAAATATAGAGCATTTGCAGCTGCGGAAGTGGGTCTAGAAATGGTGTGACTGCTACAGAGGCAGAAGGATCATCACTGCCCTTGATCTCATCAGTCTACTTCTATTAATATGACCCGAGCTTCGGTTTATTTTCAACAGTCACAGCACATCCTAGACTCACATCGAGCTAATGACCAGCCCAGCGCCACCAGGCTCTTCTTTACATAAATGTCCTGCAAGCCTCAGAGATGTATCTCCACACCTCCCCCTAATCCAAGTTGTCCCTTGTCCCCATCACACATTGCTTTATTGTATTCATGGCCCTCATCAACATATGAAATTATTTCGTTTGCTTACTTATTATCCATTTTCCACTACTGGGACATAAGCTCAGGGAAGACAGTGTTCATTGTCCACTAAATCTGTACATTCTTATAAGTATTTAGCACATAGTCAGTATGGTTGGACGGATTCATGGATGTGTGGATGGATGAATAAAGCCAGACATTCCCCATACTGTATGTAGATAGCCAGTTGATTTTTTTGAGACCTAATATAAAACTTCATGAATATTTCTACTAAAATTGTATAGTTGGTTGTCAGTTGTCTTTCTACAGAGTAGCCACGAAGTCTAGAAACGTAGAAGAACAGACATAATAAATGGCTTGCCGATCTTATAATGTACGATACGGTCAGTGACATTACATGATATGGTCAATGTATCACCTTCAATAGCAATGCATGGTTCGGAGCACGGTAGAAAATTGCCAGGAATGTGGTGCATCGACGCCACATTTCCATCAGCGCCTGCATCTTCCTCTGTTCTGCGTTGCCTCAGATGATCTGTCTCTGATTTTCACCCCAAAACAAAACAAACAAGATATGCCTTTAGCATGCCACACAAATATCAAGAAAAACAAATCTATATAAAAAAGTAATCTGCATTTTCATGCTTTGTGGCCAGCCTGTACATTGTTCGATCTTGAACCTTGAGCCTTTTATCTAATCATCTTTCTTGGCCAGCTTTATAGTCTCTGAAAGTATAATGTTCCTCCGAGTCACTGATAAAGTCTAGACAGGGAGAAGCCTACGGAACGCAGAGACAACTCCCTTCGGGTTGACCTTGAACCTCTCAGCACAACTCGTGCAAACAATCACCAGGCGTTGGGGGTCCCCTGTGTGCCTGGCACTGTGCCGGGCTTTGGGAACGCAAACGCCCTCGGGGGCCCGTAGGCACTGAGGGAGGCAGATAAGGAAGGCTGTCTGTTGTACCTGGGGGGGGAGTTCTGTGATAGTGGAGTGCCCCGCGTGCTTGGTGGGCACGGATAAGGGATTGTCTTCATCTGTTCGGGCTGTTATAACAAAATTCCACAGACTAGGTGGCTTGTAAAGAGCACAATGTATTGCTCACAGCTCTGGAGGCTAGAAGTCAGACTGGGGTGCCAGTGTGGTTGGGTGGCGGCCCTCTTCCCGGTCATAGACTTCTCCTTGTGTCTTCTGGTGGTATCCTCACATGGCAGAGGGGGGAGGGAGCTCCGTGGGGTCTCTTTCATGAGAGCACGGATCCCATTCATGAGGCCACCCCCGCTCATGACCTAATGACCTCCCAAAGCCCCCGCTTTCTACCACCGTCACATTGGACATTAGGATTCCAACATGTGAGTGCGGGAGAACGCAAACAACCAGACTAGAGTGGGGACTTGTAAGTCATCCTGGGCAGAGGAGAAAGTTTCCCAGAGGAGGTGCCATTTGCGCTGAGTGTCGAAAGACAAACAGCTTGAGATGGTATGCGAGGCTCAAGAATGGCCAAAGCCCAGTCGTAGGGATCCATGAGGCCAGTCAGCCCGCAAGCCCGCAAGCCCGCAAGCCGGGGTTGTCAGGGACTAAATAGATCCAGAGCCAATATATATATATTTTTTTTCTTTTTCTTTTTTTTTTTTTGATGTCAAGATACACATTAACTGCCTGAACCATTGGGTAGCCTATGGTGGGGGCGGGGTGGGGGGCGGTTAAGTCAATAAAGTCATTCGGTCTGTTTTTCTCAAACCTGTGTTCGTTCTCAATACCCATCTTTTTCAAAGGGCTTAAAAACCTTCTCTAAATTGCATTTTCATTACAATCTTGCCAGGCTATTGGTCTGTATAGTGGGAACGGTGTCTTTTCCCCCTGGGTAAATTGGGACATCTGCTGACAACAATCTTTTGGAACTCTCCCAGCCTCCCTTCGTTTTTTCAGGGATTAAATACATGGGCTCTGTTATGCTTTCTGTGGGTTTGTCCGGGGGCCTGGGATGGGAGCCTGCAGGGCCCGGAGATGCGGATTTCAAGCGGCTGAGAGGACACAGCCCCCCCACTCCCCCGCTTCAGGTCCCGTGCTCTTCTAGTGACCCTGCTTGAAATCTTTCTAGTCAAGACCGTGTTGCCTTTACGGAGAGGCTAGTCAGGAGTTGGGTCATCTTACTTTCTCTGTGCTCCGTTAACATGCTACCATGAACCCTAAGTCATGAGCATCATCTCTTTTTAAATCATAACTAGGAATAATCCACTACACCACCTTTTTTTTTTGCTAACTTTAGCTTTTTTTTTTGTAAGCCTCAGCTCAAGCCAGGCACTGTTCTCACAGAAATGTGTCACTCTTCTCAACTTGTCCTTGGTACCATGCCCTTCCTTCTATCTTTGTATGTGTCCTTCTCTATCCAAACATGTCATGAAAAACACAATAACTCCTTTAGATCTGTCCCTGTTGCCACCTCCCTGGGATGAGTCACGATTCTGTTCATCTTGCAGAGCCTCCTGTCCCTCTGGAGTTTCTCCTTCTGTGGGTTGCAGGGCCCGTGTGTTCTCTGTGTGTGAAAGGGGGCCATTTCCCCCAAGTCCAGCCAGTCAGGTCCTCTGCTTCATGTCATGAGACTTCTCGGTGATGGAATGATTGAAGCTCCTGGTCACTGTTCTCTCTCAGTCCACGTGGCTGGTGGTTCATAGTTTGTATATTTTTATACAGGAAACTTATGGAATCTTCGAAGATTAATGAAGGTGTTGATCATTGATCTGATTCTCTTCAAAGACTCGCTCTCATTACCTCACTCTGTTAACCCACTTTTCTAATAATGATTGGTTGGGCAAAGTGCTCTTTTTAGAAGTAGTGTGGGTGTACCTAGGATAAATAAATATTCAGGTCAGGCGAGTAATCAGGAATGCACATGTTATCTGTTTTCTCAACTAGCTTGTGGGAAAGGAAAGACTGGGAAAATGTTGGCGTTTAAGTATATGCTCTCTTATTGGCCACGCTTACTCCATTTTATGTGGAAAAACGAGTTCCCAAACCTCCAGGAGGTTACCAGACCCCTTAACTATGGGGAGCGATGTGTCACAGCAGAGTCCTGACCCCTTGCTTCTCGGCTTCTTTGCTGCGGCCTTCCTCATTCTCCACACATGCTTGTCATGCCTGCGGTGCTGATAAGAGCAAGATAAGGAAAAGGAAGGGAGAGGAATCAGGAGAGCCGGGAGGGGACAGAGAGCACAGGCGCCCAGAGACCCCTGGCACAAACACGCACCCCGCTCGCCCTCTCACCAGAAAATCAGATAAGAGCGCCAGACCTCCTGGGGCTGCCCTGAGCCCAGGCGCACGGTTGTAAGCTCGAATACATTGTCCCGTTGAGCTGCAGTTGGAGGAGGCTCTTTAAATACACCTCTCTTCAGACTAAGTAGATTTCCACTTTCCATGATTGCAAAAGGGCTCTTGGGCAAGACCCTTCTTTGAAAACTGACCAATTGGCAGTAAGAGGATAAGAGGTTAAGAGGCCTCGGAGAGGGGGGATAGTTCTGGAATGTGCCAGATGTAGGTTCAAAGCCTAGATTCGCTATCAGCTGGACAACCTTGGACACATGATTTACTCTCTGTATCGATTTCCTTATTGATCAGAGAGGGATAATAGTAACCCCTCCACCCACAGCAAGCTTGAATCCTGCAGCTTCCGGGGGCGGCGGGGGAGGGGGGTTGGTTGGTGCGTGGGTGGTAGGGCTTGGTTTCCATTTGCCTTTCCTCCTTCCAGGCTCAGCCACTCGAGTTGGTCTTGATCTTTCAGAAAGCAGTAGGCCCTGCCTCTCCACTCCAAGGATGAGTGTCAGCAATTTAAGAGATAACACTCGGGTGCCTGAGACTCTGTTCCCATGATAAAGCATCAAAATCTTTCAGACCTCCCCACACAGGAAAAGGGAAGCACCCACATGCGGAAATCGATGAATAGGGGTTTGTACTTTAAGCTGAATATCAGAAATAAAATGTAAGTTGCATTTCCTTAACGCAACCTGAATGCACCACTGTTTTGCTATAAAAGTTTTCTTTGTGAGATACAAAAGTTTCAGGAGCAGTGTGTTCTTTTGAGACACAGTAGATAGGACATCTCAGGGCCATACTGTTCTTTGTTTTGTTTAATTTGGTAACTAGCTCTATTGTTATTCATATTATGTACATTCTGTCAGAAGTCAAAAACCCTGTTTCTCAGAAAGCCAACTACCTGTTTTGAGTCTCCTCAGAGGATTATTCCAAACGGGCCAGAAACTTTTCTTGTTCAAGTCTTGGCCTGGGACTTTGTTTCGCTTGGGCCTTTTTAATTGGTCGCATTTGTCTTTCCTTGATTTCCAAGGACCCCAGATGCACACTGAAGCCCAGAGGATTCAAGCAACTCCCCTGGCTTAGAGACTTTGCTGTGTTTTCCTCTCCCCGGTTTATAAAAACATGATCTTCCATTTCTGCAGGCGGTGGGGCCTCCTTCCAGATAAGCAGCTCGTCCTGGCTGTCCCGGTCCCTGGTGGCAAACCTGGCCCCTTGGGAACTGTGTGACAGCTTCTGAGGAGGGCTTGTTGTTATCTGACGACTCAGAGACAAGCGTGACCCAGAATGTGCGTCTGGGGCGGCAGAGATGCTGTCGTCCATTTAGGCCAACTGCTATCTCTGCAAGACACTTGTGGTCCTGACGCTGCCCCAGACCATTAAGGAAGCTAGTCACCCCTGTTTGCAGCCCTGAGCCCTCGCCTCCGGGGTTTTCTTCTCCCCTTTGTCCTCAGCAACTTTAAGAGCTTTTGTTGGGAAGGATGCAGAGGCCACAGCCCAGCTCCGGGGAACGTGTGCTGCAGTGGACCAGTCCTGTCCGCCGTAAGCCTGGTGTCGGCAGCGGGGCCCCGTGCGCATCTTCGCCACCCCTGGAAGGGCCTTTTTCTGGCGTTAGGGCCACGGTGTTGACAGGACAACCGCCTTCGACATTTTCAGCTTTCCTCTTTGACAGCAAGGCCTCCCGGCTTCGATGCAATTAGGTCTTTTCCTGAACATGCTGGCTGTCCAGACAGTTTGCTTGGTGAGTCAGCATCTACACGTATCTTGTGATCCTGAGGCATTATGCACCTTTCCCGAGCCCTGGTGTGAACCTCCACCTTGACAGCCACAGTCAGCGTGGCCGTCCCCGTCCCCATCCTCAGCCCTCACTGAGATTTCCACTGGGTGCGTGGGGGCGTCCTCTCATTCCCACGATCCCTTGATTCGCAGAGGGAAACTCTTCCATACCAGCCCTGCCCTAGTCCCTCCCTCACACTATTTCTCCCTCACGTATTCCTAATTTCAATTTTATTCCTCTCGCTCTGGCCAAGCTTGATATTCATTTCCTAATTAGAGATTATGAGAATTTTAATGGCTACGGAAGCCTGGGTATTTTCGAAGCTGATGAGCTTACATCCCCCATCAGCGGGAAACCTCTCGGGTAATAGGATTAACCAATGACTGTTATTTCCTTCGGACTTTTCTCTATTTCCCAGATATACCTTTATAATCAGAAAAAAATAAGTGTATCTGAAGAAGAAAACATCTAGACTAGTGGTTTTTAGCCTTTTTTAAAAAAAAAAAAAAGAGCAGCTGAACTCTGTTCAAATGTTAGAGAAAAAGAAATGAAAGAGCAGCTGTTGAGGTTGAAGTGGGATCTGTGTGCGTGTGAGTGTGTGTGACTCTGTGTGTGTGTGTATGTAGGGGGTACCTCCTGTGTTGCTGGATATTTTGAGTTTTTCATCCCAGGAAGGGACTAGACGTTGGACCCTCTTTGCCCATCAAACAGGAAACTGCGTCTGGCCTGGAGCCGGCCTCTGTCATGACAGAGCTAACGCCTCTCAGCAAAGGGCCTGCTAGGTCTGTCGGGCGCATGAATTGTGAGTAGCCGCACTGTTTTTGGGCAGAGACATTCCCTTTGCCACATAACAGACTACACTCTCCTGAATCCTCCAGGGACTCTGCCTGCCAGGGGCGCAGGAGAGGGGGCGGTGAGAGCCTGCCGCAGACAGGGCCATTTTTCAGGACAGCCTACTCAGAACAGATACGAAGAAGTGCTTGAGCCTGAGGGGCCTGAAAGCCTGTCGTTCCCCCAGCCTCATGTGTCAGGTGGTCCAACTGTCTCCCTTTACATAAGGCCTCTCCATTTCTGGAAGGGCCAACACCCCTACCCTCCCCAGGACCGGCGGCTTTTGTTAAGAACGGTGTGGAGGAGGAGAAGGCCACGTCACGCGTGTGCCGGCTCCGGGGCCAGGCTCCCTGGGTTTGAAACCTGGCTCTGCCACCTACTAGCCCTGTGGCCTTGTCCAACCTCCGCCCATTCTAAGCCTTGGTTCTCCCATTCTTAAAAGACGTGGGAATGGTCTCTAACTCCTAGGACCTTAGGAGCTTGTTGTTACTGTCATTATGTTGATGACCCTTAGTCACACTATCTCCCCACCTCTCAGCCTCCCACGCAAGGTTCTGACCAAGATTCTGAATGCTGACAAAGAAAGAGAACATTTGGATCTTTCTAGTGACTTTCTTGGGTTATGGTAAGAAATCTCGTATGGGGATAGATAGCTCTGAGGTCCTGAGGGAGCTGTGGCAGAACCAGCTCCCACTGGACAGGTAGGGGACGGGTTTGTCAGCCAGAGGTCGGTGATGTCACCTCTGCTGGGGCAGCTCGAGCCTCTTCTCTATTTCTAGAAAGAATCCTTTATAACCTAGGGGATGGGGGTGAGGAGGACCTGTTCATACAACTGTTTTCGCTACCATTTCCTGAGTACTTATGACAACACTAGGCCCGACATGTACCTTTTTCTTCTAGTCACATAATCCCTACAAAAAAAGCTATGGTGCTCATTTTTCCAGATCATGAAACTAAGGCTTATGAAGGAAATCAGCCAGCATCCCACAGCTAAAGAGTGAGAAAGCTGTTACCCAAACCTGAACTCTACACCCATCCGCTTTCTATTACCCTGCCTTCCTTCTCTCTCACCACTTCCCCCCAAAGTACTCCCAAGCGGAAGTTTTCTACCAACCCTAGGCCTTCAGCGTATGACTGCATATTGAAAACAACTGCTGTTAAAACATCTCCTCCTTTCCCTGCCAGAGGTTCCAGACGCACAGCCATCCCGGGTCTGCTCCCGGATGGATAAAAGCTTGGCCCAGCCACGGGCTGCTTGCTGACTGGGCCACCGGGCACCCGATCACCTTACCCTTTTCTGGACCTTACTCCAGGACAGATTGGAATTCACCAAGTCTGCGGGTCGACCAATAAACACTGGCCTTTCCTGGAGACCTCCAGAACGATCTCAGAATTATGACACCTGAAGTGGTTGTCACCCCCCTCCCCCCGAGGCTGGCCAGCAGGAGGTTTGAGAGACTGAGCAGGCCTGCAGGAGCCCTTCCGTTTCACCACTGAGGAAGGACTGAGGACATTCCTCTGCTCGGGAACTCCTGCCTCACGACCTGAGGTGGACACTCTGAAAAAGATGTCTCATCCGCCATTGGCTCCCATGAGGTGACCTGCGACCTCCCGCGTTCTGTGCTGCCCTCTGCCCTATGCCCCATGGAGCATTTGGGTTTGTGTATGGTCTGCCGCTCAGAAGAGCATTGCTGTTGTCTGCCATTTTGCTGGGCATAGAGGGCATCCCATTCTTAGCTAATACTATCCCTTCTTTCCACAGTGCCTTTCTGCCCTCACGTATCCTAGGCACCTCTCTCTCTTCCCTCTTCTCCATCTCTGGAGAAGAAACCGGGAAATGCTACTGGGAATAGTATTGCCTTTGACTTTCTTTGTGCTGACTCCTCCTGAGAGCTTAATGACTCACCTTTGCAATGTCTTATTTCTTGACATTTCTGCTTGTCTCTCACAGAACCTGTCCTTTTTTTCTTACCAGCTTTTTTTTTTTCATTTTTTTAAATGAAAAATAATCAAAATTATGTCATTTCTAGAGTTGTCTTATCTTCCTAAACGATATTCCTCTGGCCTGTCTCCTCTTCTCAGTAACTCTCTTGATCTCGCTTATCATCAATCTTATTTTCAATAAAAGGGGCCTTCTGAAGCTTCCTGTTGTCTGGCAGTCAGCTGTCTGGCAGCCTCCTATTGTCTAGCTGTCTGACAGTTTCCTGGGGGATCCCTTCCTGTCATCCCCGTGTCCTTCTGGCACCCCCAATTAGCTGGGATAGGTCAGTCCCCAGGGTAAGAGAGGGTTGGGATGACACAGTCCCAGGACTTAAGGAGTTTATGGTCTTTCATGACTTTCCCTCCCCTCCAAAGCCTGAGCTCTTGCAACATTGGAATGTAAAAGTAGTCATTTGATGTCGACTCTTGATTCACAAAATAATTGTTTGAGGTTTTTAATATGTGTGTTTCCTCCATGCTCTTTGCAAGTATTCACCTTTTGTTCTTCCAATAAATATTTACTGAGGAACTGTTATGTGCCCAGAGCTGAGCTAGGCCCAGAGGTACAGTCAGGAGCAAAATCATCCAGGGTCTTAGGGTGCCTGGGTGGCTCAGTCGGTTAAGCATCCAACTCTTGGTTTTGGCTCAGGTCATGATCTCAGGGTCCTGGGATCGAGCCCCACATCGAACTCCACACTCAGTGGGAGTCTGCTTAGATATTCTATCCCCTCCGTAACTATTCCCCCCCACTGCCGCATTCTCTCTCTCTCTCTCAAATAAATAAATAAATCTTAAAAAAAAAAATCATCCAAGGTCCCTGCTTTCCTGGAGCTTACAGCCTAGTGGGGAAGCAAGATGAGTTCATCAAGTAGTCATGCTGAAACATGTGACATTTCAGCCATGACAGTGTTTGAAGGAGAGGCATGTAAGGCTGTGGAAGCATATAACGCAAAAGGCTGGTATCCTCTGGGTAAGTGGTTCTCCAGGTGTGGTCCCTGGACCAGCAGCCCTCAGCATCACCTGTGACCTGGTTAGAAATACACAGTCTCATTTCCCACTCTGGACCCACTAGATTAGAAACTCCGGAGGTGGGGTCCAGCCTCTATTTTCACACGTCCTCGGGAGACTGTTGTACACACGCAGGTGTGAGAATTCTTGCTTCAGATGGCCAAAGAAGGCTTCCTTGCAAAAATAACTTTTGGATTAGAAGGGAAAACCAGGCAATAGGGCAGGGTAGGAGAAGTCTTTCAGACAGAAAGAATGGCATATGCAAAAGCCCTATAGTAAGAGCAGAGGGCTTTTGAAAACACAAGGGATTACCCCAAGAAAGAAGAGTGATACAAGATGCGTCTGGACAGGTTGATAGAGCCAGGATATGCAGGTCATGGAGGCGCCATCAAGGATTGGGCAATAGGAAGCTTTTGATGTGCTTTAAACACAGGGATGACACAATCTTATTTGTTTTCATTTAAAGAATAATTCTAGCTACAGGATGGAGCAAGGATTGAAGAGGAGCAAGAGTAGACCAGTTGGAGGGCATCGCAAGGGTCTGGGGAAAGATGGCAGTAACTTGCACTAGGGTAGCTTCCGGAGGCATGGAGAGAAACGTGCATAATCACAAGGTACTTTGGTAAAGTCCACAGGTCTTTGGTGATCAGTTGGAGGTGTCAAGGAGGACTCTGGCTTTTGGGGTTTACATGCAAGGTGGAGGATAATGATGCCAAGTTTGGTGGTGGGAAGAAATCATGAGAAGGTCCTGTTGTAGTTGAAGTGTCTTTGAGCCACCTATGTGTAGATCTCAATTAGATGGTGGAAGGTGTGGGTCTGGAGCTCTGAGGAGAAGTCAGGGCTGGCAGTACACATAGGTGAGTCATCAAAAGCCAAGTGCCAACTAAAATTGTGGGCCAGGGTGAGGTCGCCCAGGGAGAAAGAATGTAATGAATAGAAGAAAGCCAGAGGAACATCATTATTCTTGTTTACTGGTCAGGTGGAGTTAGAATGACCCCTGCAAAACCCATGTAGTGTGAAGAGCCAAAGAGAAGGAAGGAAACTAGAAGCCAGGAGAATATAGTGTCACGAGGCCACGGGAGGAGAGGGCTGAAGGAAGGAGTGCTCAACAATGGCAAGTAGGGAAGTAAGACATAGAGGCAGCTAGAAAAGGCCCATTGGATTCAGTGACGTGGAGGGAGCTTTGTGGCTTTAGCAAGAGCTATTTCAGTAGACTGAAGAGAGCAGAAGCTAGACTGAAATGGCCTGAGGTGGGGATTGAAGGTAAGGAAAGGGAGTGACTATAGACAGCTTTCTAGAAAAGGTGGTTGAGTGGAAGAGAGGGCACCTGTTGTCGGCAGATGTGGAGTCAGGAGGATCATTCCGGTTTGTTTGGATGTGAATGGTTCTTGCATGCGAAAGCCTAAGGATTTCATTGCAAGGGGGTGGTTAAATAAAAAGAGAGATGTGGCCATTGGAGGCTACCAAAGATCAGGAAGCTAAACAGGTTGCAGAAGGCAAAGGCTCCGGGATTCTGTAGCTCCTTCTCTAGCCTGGATTTTTCTGAATCTCAGTGACCTGCCCAAGGCCAGATGCCCTGCCCTGGAATGCCTGCCGTCCCTCCTTTTCTTGGCATCTCTCCTCCCTGCTGTCTGGTTTACCCACAGCCCCTTTGCTACAGCCTGCTCAGCTGTTTTCTCAGCTTTGTTCACCCAGTGTTAAGTTATTAACTTGTCAGGGTCCAGACTCCCCACTTCTTTCCCACTTTGAACACACTGTTGGCTCCCTTCCTGTTCTCTGCCTCGCGAAGTCAGCATTTGTAAGGCCAGGGTTGCTCTGCGGGTCATTACTGGGGGCCACACAGAAGTACAATTACTGTAATTGGTATAGAATGTTGAAGGCTTCTTAAAGACATTAATACAACTGAAAAAGGAATAATAAACACAACCATCTCTCCATTATCTTAAAAGTGGAGGCAAATGGCGAGCTTAAAATAAACTTTACCCAAAGTCATTTCTCCAAGCGGGTCCAGTTTTAAAGAGTCACCTGTAACCATGAGAAGGACCATCAGATTCTCACATGTTAATTCACAGATTCTATAGGGTCAGAAGTGATCTTTAGTTAGTTCTTAAAGCAGATTCAGTAACTGGTAAGTTGTTTTAATACAAGTGTTGCAACTCTGAAACAAGAAAATTTTGTCTGAGATTCTTTAGGGAAATTTGCAGCAGGTCCTTAAGCAGAATTGAGTGGTTTTATCATTACCTAACCCTTTTGAAGTCATGAGTGAACTGAATGGGGCATGATGGACTTAATAAGGCACAGACTGTTTCCTATTTGTTGACCTACTTTTCTTGTCTAAGGATAAAATTAAGGGAGAAATAACATTTTTGAGTATTTTATGATGGACAGTTTTGCTTATGTCATGGTATTTATCCCTTGCAATCCTTTGAGATTCATATTATCTACGGGCGTACAAAGAGAGAAATCAGGTCTCAGAACTATTTGGGAATTTCCCAAAGTGCACACCTCTAGAGAACGGCCTGTGGCACTGGGTACTTGAGCTCCAGTCTTCCTGCTCATGCGTGGAGAAGAAGCAGTCATTACTGTAGGAATGGTAATAATCAGCAATAGCTCCCGTGCACCGAGTCCTCAACGTGCCCAGAGCCTTCGTCTGTGTCGGATCATTTAATCCCTGTAAGAGCACCGCAAGCACCGTGGTCCTCATTTTACCCAAGAGGCAACAGTCTCGAAAAGGTTAAATTATCCGTCTGGTCACACGGCTATTCAGTGAAGACCTGTTTCCATCTGACCCTAACATTCCTCTGCAAACTTGTTTGTCAAGATTAGAGATGTTTCCCCGATCCCAAGAACATGAGGCATGGTGGATGTAAATAGTTTTTCCCTAACGTTGAATATCCAGCTGCCTCCCAGCACTCCTGTTGAGCTGGAAGACGGAATGTTTATTTAATTTTTATTCCCTGTCAGCCTTGGGAGGGGAGGCCAGACCTGCCCGCCATTTCCATGAGCTTATCCATTTCTGTAAGGTGCTTTCTCACCCATGCAGCAACTTCTGCCGTCAAGACCCATCCCCAAACCCAGAAGCAGCCAAGGAGACCTCTGAGCACGACCAGATTTAAATATCACGAGTTGTTGAATTCACCCCTTCGCTGTATCTGGAGAAGAGCCCCTCTGATCTTCGCACGGAATGGGCTCGCTTTAATTTTCCACGTAATTCTAACAGCCTCTGTGTCCCGCCGGGTCTGCGGCAACATCCTAATGGAAGAGGGCCCACCGAAGGCTGGTGTAGTAACCCCAGAGAGGCGAGCCGAAATCATCGTAATGAACAAAACAGAAGCAGAAACGAGAGCCTAGCACACAGCCCAGTGGAACGCCTCGCATAGACTCCATGGCCATATTACAGCAGAGTCCAATCAATGACTGTTTTTCATTAGGGTCACACTGAACATTTACAAAAAATTAATATGATGTCATGTTTGGAGTACATTTGATTTAGGAGAGTAGTGATGATGTGTGCAGGGTTTGGGGTTTGGTTTTTTTTTTTTTTTTTAAGAAAAAAATGCATTCATGCTTTATCTCTCCTTCAAATCTAGCTGTCCAAGAAAGATTGCCCAAGGCCCTGCGTGTTACTGGTCTTTGTACACCCAAAGCACAGTACCTGGTGCACAGTGCGTGCTCACCAACGTTAGATGATGAAATGCCAACGACTTGTTTCCTGAGGTTTCTGGAGAGCCTGTTTTCCTGTGGCCTCTCAGCTGCATTCCTGTTTATTCTGTGTTTAGACATGATTCAGGGCAAGGATAACCAGCCTCGCCTCAGAAACAAAATCCTACCACACACGGTAGCTGCCGTGTCCCTCATTCCCGTCGTCCTCATCAAGACTGACCGACATTGCCCTCTGGAGAGGGTGTAAAATAGAAGCTGGGGCCTGACTTCCCTGGGATGCATTTGACCGCGATACCTAGCACCAGGCCGGGGAGCTGTTGAACCAGCTCTTAGCAAAACAAGCCAGGGTGCCGGGAATTCTCTGTGGGTTTAGATGCTCCCCCCCCCCGCCCCCCAGCGGGATAAAATCAGTGTCGCTGGGGATGGGAGCTCGCTGCCTTGCAGAACCTGTGCGCAGGCAGCCCGGAGATCTGGCACCCAGGGCTCCCCGCAGTCAGGGGCCCGGCGCTTGGCGCATCTGCTCCAAGCACCTGGCCCGCGTTCCCAGCTCAGGGGCTGCTGGTTTTCCAGGTCACTGCCGTTTGGAAAAGGCAGCCTCACTGACCTGTGAAATGAGCGCAGTGCCCGTATAGAAAGCCCTGTCCCCCTCGCCCCAGCAGCCAGGGAACACTTCTGCGGAAGGGGTGGGGGCAAAGCTCTCCAAGCGCCTGAGGGAATTCTAGCCGTCACTCCTGATGGAATTAGCAGGAGTCATCCATAAATCCCCGAGGCATCCATCATCTATCGGCAGGCAGAGCCAGGCTGCCTTTTTCTAAAGAAGTTCACTCACCTTTTGTTAACTTAACTCCTTGTTAGGAACTGTCTCCTCAGCTGTATGCTCCCACCTCCAGGGCCCGGGGGTCAGCAGGAGCGGGGCTGGCTGTGGGCTGGGGTTTCCAGCTGCGCGCTGCCTGGTACCTGAGCTGTCTGTCTTGTTTTCCTCTTTCAGCTGTCTTCCAGATCATTCAGAGCATAAGGATGGGCATGTGAGGAGGCCCGGGGCTTTGACACTGCTCCTCCCTCTGGAGGGCGGAGGACCACTTAAGCTTTTAGCCGGGTATCTGTGGGAAGCAAACAAGCCACACAGAATAGAAAAAAAGCCTCCCTCAATTGTTCTCTGATCACTTCGTCGTGGATGTCAGACCAAATTGCCTTCTCACGGGACATCTTGGTACATCCGTGTTCTGGAGCGGAAAGGACATTTTGCTTTTCTGTTGGCGGGATTGGTAGCTCCCAGGTGCCTGCAGCCGCGGGCTGCCTGGTTTTGCCCTCGGTTTCACTGATGTATGCATGTGGCCCTCCGAATGATCACCAGTTTCCTTTCCATGGATTCAGCCTCTCCTCCGTCGCGAATTGGTTTTACAAATAAATGTCTTTGCTCAACCTTATACCGTGTGTGGGCTACCGTGAGAAAACTGCAGTGAAGAAAATGCCAGAAAAGCTCCAGGTGGGATTGCCGGGGCGGGGGCGGGTACTGGGCTAGACGATTGGGACAGGGTCAGGAATCTGTGTTTTGGGAACCAGAGCTAGATTTACCTTCAAGCTCTTTGCCCAGAATGAAGCCCTGGGCTGCTCTAATGACCTTGGATTTTCCACCCATGTTACTTTTTAAATTTTTTGATCTTTTGAGGTTTTGATGTTCTTTTTTTCAATGCAGAAAAGGCACCTACAAAGCATGTTAAGGTTCGATTAGCTGTTACCTCTTCTTTGTCTGCCTGAGGACTTGGTGGGGAGCAGATGTCTGAGGCCTCTTTATGAAAACCAGGCAACCTCAGGGCGCAGCCTTGCGCTAATAAAGAGCACAGGAGGGCGGGAGTCCCACCTCACTCTGGGTGGTCAGCCCCAAGGCTGGGAGGGCAAGGCCCAGGGCTGGTGGATGCAAACCTCCCCTCCCTGGCCAGCCTCCCCATCAGCCTCTCCAAGTGTGGTCTGCCTAGAACTGGCATCCGGGCTTGGGGGGCAGGGTGGGGGGACGGAGAACGCATCTCAGAATGCAGACTCTGGGGCTCCACCTCAAGCCTACTAAATGTGAAGTGCTACGGGCGGAGCTAAGACTAATGCTCGGTACAAGCTCCCTGGGTGAGGCTGATGCACGCAGAATTTTGAGGACCACGATCCCGAGAAAGCCCAGCTGTAGAGGGAGTGAGTTTTGTCCCTTCCAAGCAGCAAAGGCAGCCGAAGCTTGCTCGATCCTGGCGGGGCGGGTGGTGGAGGAAAGGGCTGGTTGGCCGGCCGTTTTTGTTCCCGCTTCTGATGGGCCTAAGGAAGTCCTAGGGGCAGCCACAGAGATCAGCAGCGGGAGTAAAGATGTTCACCGTGCAACTTGAAACAGGCCTGGGTTGCATTTTAAAATTCCATCTCTGCATTCTTGGCAGTTTTTTTTCATTCCTGAATATTGTGAGAGCTTTAAGCACAGAAGGGGCAGCAGTGGCCAGGACCTCTCTCAACCATTCGGGGGCTTTGCTGTAAATGGCACACTTGGAAACGGGGCGGGGGGCAGTGGTAGGGGGGCTTTGGGTCCACTGGGGTCTTTCACCCCAGACCCTCCAGTGATGTTCTTTAAGGCCTGCTTTTCTCCCATCCTCCTCCCTCACTCTTCCCCCTGAGAAGAGGGTAGCAGGCTTGCTCCAAAATTAGCAGCCCTAGGGACAGCCCCCCACCCTTGTGCTCCCCCACTGCCGCCCCCCCAAGCCCCTCCCTCCCAAGCCGGCAGAAGGCACCTGCCACCATGAGGGCTGCACATAAGATGCTCTGCGAGCTGGTCCCCTCATCCTGTTGGCTCCGCTGCCTCTTCTCTTCTAGGTCACTGAGTAAGACCAGTGTACTGTGAAAGATAAGACCTCAGGGCTCCTGTCAAGAGGCCGGAAGAAGAAAGGCCACTTGACATCAGATTTACCTCGTCTGTGCCCTCTCTAACTCCCACAGTGCCTAGACCTGATCTGAGTATGGCCTTGCCCTTCCTGCCCTGAGAACAGCCTACCCACCAAACCACCGGGAAAGGCCATGGCTGGGCCAACACTTTGGGGCTCCTCCTTTATTGGATAGAGTCTTCCCCCGACACGAATTTGGTCTTTCCCACCATAGTAGTAGTCAATGGGGGTGATTAGGGAAACTGAAATTTGGCCAGATTGGGTTCCAGATAAAGCCAGCGGTCCCCAGGTGACAGGTGTGGTGGGCTGAGTCAGCTGCTATGGGTAAAACTTCCTGAGACTGATTTATCTCCCTAGGCTATGAGATCATGTACAAATTGGTTTTCTATTACTTTCCAGGTAGCCTCCCGGAAGTACTTGTGTATGACAGTCTGCCGTCCCCGGTGACAACTTCTATCACTCTTCTGAAAGAGGAGACAGGGGCTGCCCCAAGTAAATTAGAGTCATGGTTGATTTTTGCTGTCCAGGAGAGACTTACGGACATTTTGTGCCATGACACATAGTAAGAAATACATGGCAACCGAAAGCACAACACACCCACCAAAACAAGTTTTCCAGAACCACACTTATCCCTAACATATGTCATGCACTCTTCCCGGCCCCCGCACCCTTGGACTATTTACTTTTTTTAATACTGGTTGCACCCTGCTCAACGGTTCTTATAACCCACAGATAGGTTCCAACCCACAGTTTGAAAACACTGCTCTTCGGGCGGAAAATCCAGCCATTAGCAGGAGACAGATGAGCAAGTCTCACAAGGTAAGAAAGTTTACATCTCACTGTGCATTCTGGTGAGAGCCTGAGTCACACCAGTCACTGACCATCAGTACGTCCTGGGTGGCACATACGCACTTTCTCTGGGTCTTTCAGGTACGTTGGCAGATCCCACAAAGAGAACACTAGCAACTCCTTGAATTCATTGAATTAACGTGAAATACCACGTTCCCTTTGTCAGCAATCACTTGCTATTCGTCACAATCACTTGGGGTGGGGATGGCTGTTTTTTATTTTCTTTATTTTTTGTTTTTATTATGTTCAGTTAGCCAGCATATAGTAAATCATAAGTTTTTGATGTGGTGCTCAACGGGATGGCTGTTTTTTCAAGCAGGAATCCACCCCGGGTCGCTGAGAATCAAAATCTCCAGGGAAGATGGGCATATGCATATGTATTAGTTTTTCGTGTCGGGATGATTCTGATGCTGCCCATCTACCCGTTAGCATTTGGGAAACAGACTCACCAGTTTAAAAACTTTGACTTCGTTTAAGCCAAAGCAGGGACTCAGCAGTAGCACCCCCAAACCTAACCGTGGAACAACTCTGCACAGGAGTTTTTCCCGCCGACGTTTGAAGCATTTGGGGCTCTCTGCAGAGCCCAGCAGCAATGAGACATGATGTCTTATTTGGCTCCAGGTCTTGTGTGTCCTTGTGTCTCAAGTAGATCACAGAGTGGGGTACAGGGTGCTTAATACTTGACTCCCGAAGCCCTGTAGGAGGGAAATGTGCGTGGTGGGAAGGCTAAGGGCTTCCTCCAGGCCTCAACCTCGCAGGGCACACTGAGATCAAACACTGTTTCTGGGAAGGCCAGTACACTGAAGAAAGAGCTCGCTGGCCCAGAAGAGAAGGAAGTGTGCCCTCCTACGTAGGCTGCTCTTTGCTAAAACACAATTCTATTCCTCTGCAGACACAAGAACATTCTAGCTTAAGATCTGGATGCTGCCGTGCTGTGGTAACAACTGGAAGGCTCAGGCACTCAGCCGACAGGTGTTCACTTCTCTCTCACACAAGCCTGGCTGGAGCAGGCTGGCTAAGCTTCCTTGCAGGGAGCATCTCCACAGTCCAGGTTATGCCACCATCATTATCCAGGGTCACTGAGGTCTAGTAGGGACAGCAGTCTTCGCTGCCCTGGCCCAGAAGTGACCCTTCACTTCCGCTCACCACGACATTGGCCCCTGCAAGTCCTATGGCCCAGCCCATCTGCAGGGAAGATTGGGAGATGTGGGGGTTCACGTGGGTATTTGCGGAACTCTGTTTCGGCCATAACACTTACTGTATCTTGAGCATGTTTTATGACTGTGAGATTCAGTGTTCTATTGAGGGCAGTTTTCTAGCCATCACCTTTTCTTTTTCTAAATTTCTAAATCTCACCGCACTCCTTAGGCCTCAAGGGCCCATCTGGGCCCGGTTCACAGACGGTGGCTCAGAGAAGGCTCACTGTGTGCCGTGGGTAGGTGACCTTGGCATTTATGGCCCCAGCCAGGATGTTTGTAAGCACGAAAGGGGGTACTATTGATAATTATACCAGGACACCAAACATAAATGGTGACTGTCCTGGGTAGATCAGGACGTATGGTCAACCTGCCCATGGACAGATGCACAAACCCTCATCTCAAGAGACACTGGATTAAGTTGGGAAGTTTGCCCTTTCGCAAACCCATAACATAAGGCAGACTCTCCTAAGAAATTTAGAATTTAAACCATAGAAGTGATACAAGTAATTGACTTGCCTTGGCAGAGCTGTGAGAAAACCTTTTGGGACTACCAAGGATATCAATCCTCTCAGTGCCCCAGTGTGAGTGGGGAGTCAAGTGGGATGGTGGCCAAAGTCAAGCTACCCCCTTACTGGCGGGGTCAGGGGAAGTGCTGGGAGGCAAGCTCTATCTGTGAAGCAACTGGAAAGTTTCAGCCTTGAATGTTCAAAATGCCATTGGTCAAAACAGAGGCATCCATTGCACCATTGACATATTGAAAGTCCTCAGGATAACAAATCTGTACACAAAGACTTCTATTTTCTCTTACTTGGACAGATAAAATGTTAAGTATTGCATTAGGGACACAAGGAGAACTGAGTAGAGCTGCAGAGAGCTCTGGAAGAAAAGCCCAAATAAATATTTGTTAAAATTGGCCACAAGATTTTTATAAGTAATCCATTTCTTCTTGGGGGAGGGCAAAAGGAGATACAGAGAAGAGAAGGGAAATCTCTGCTAAGAGGAAAAGCCCAGAA